GCATGGCATTGCATCTCACTGGAGGTTTATTCTCTCAGATGGCACTTTGGAAGGAGAAAGTGAAGCACTGCAGAGAACACTCTGGAATGTGCAGGATCAGAAGTGAAAGGTTTTCTTTTTAGGTAGCAAGATAATGTCCCAGGCCATCAGCTCCAGCATGGGGCTGCAGATTCTGATGGCCTGCATATTTGTGTGTGTGTGTGTTTGTGTGTGTACGTGTGAATGCAGGTGAAATGCTCAATGACTCAATGTGCATTCTTGGGATAGAAGAGGTGGAAAGACTACTTACTCAATGGGGCTCCTGCTTAGGAAGAATATTGCCTGTTGTTCAAGCAGGGGCATCTGTCTCAACATTGATGACTGACCTGGGACTGGTAAGCTTTGGGAAGAATGGTAGAACTATTTGACAGAGGTTTAGTAGCACCACAATCAGGCCCAAATTAATAATTCTCCTGCTTGCAGGCTTTAGGTTTCTTCTGATAATATGCTGTGTGTCTCCCTCTGCTCCTTCTTTTGTTTCTTTCCTCCCTTCCTCACCTAGTGGGAGACAATAATTGTGCTTAAAGCACTGTAGAGAAAATAATAAATTAGAAAAATACTAGTTCTTTTTTTGTGAGGATTATATGATCTACCCAGGGTTCCTGAGCCTTGGCATGGTTAAACTTAGAGACCAAAGACTTGTTTTTGGTAAGGGGCTTGCCCATCATGATGATGTTTAGTAATCCTATTACCTACCTTGAAAATCAGAAATGCATCTAGAAGGCCCAATGTCCACTGGGTGTGACCACTGCCATGGCTGAGAACTCTGAGCAGTGAGGCAGAAGCTTAGTCGACACCTGCAGTGGAGTTTGCATGGATGTCTCTGTGTCTACTTGGGGTCTGTTCAGGGTCTGCTACTGCTCACAGAGTCTGGGTTAGTGGGACTTGCAGGGGGTTTAGTGCGCACCTGTTTTGAGAGAGTAATTGACCAGAGGCTATCAAATAAAACCACCATCAACAAAGGCACCATCTTAATATTGTGAGATTATCATACAGATATTTCTATTACAGCAAAAGTCGGTGGAGGTATCTGTGCTTTACAGCACTATGGTGATCACTCAGTAACTATAGCTATTATCATTTGAAAAAAAACTTTTTAAATGATGCCATTGTCCAGACTGACACACAGCAAATACTGAGTCTAACTACCACAAACCCTGAGTCTCTTTGTCTTTTTTTTCCCTTTTTTGTACATAACATCAAACCGAGGTGCTCTCTACCACTGAGCCACATCTCTAAATCTTTTTTAGAGATAGGATCTTCCTAAGTTGCTTAGATTCTTGTGAAATTGCTGAGGATGAATTTGAACCTGTGGTCCTTCTTCCTCACCCTCCCCTGCTGCTTGGATGACAAGTGTGTACCACTGTGCCCAGCTGAAGACTGTCTTCCAGAATCCTGAGAGAATATGAAGTACTGCAGTGGAAGAGATTTTCTCATACTTTATTAACTGTGAAAACCATCATTCCCTGGGAAGAAGCATGTTGGAAGCTGAGCCAAGTATGAGACCAGGGAAGGGTTTCACTTTCTGAGCTTTCATGGTGTGGCTGGGTGACACAACTGTATCCTTATAAGAGTTGCTGGTAGGATGGACACATCAGTTCAAATGCTTTTCATTGACATCATTTTTTCAACCATTCTTATTTTTTTCCCAAATGTAACAACATTATGGATTTGTAAAGTGTGCAGGGCAGCTATGTTTCATCAGGTACTAGATCAGTGTTCTCTAAAACAGATCTCATATATATGCAAGCAGAGCCACAAATTGGATACAAAGACACACAGTGCTCCCCTGGTCTGTCTAGTAAATTCTATATAGTATGTTTAGGGATGGGTGAAGGGTAGTGTGCTTCATTCTCATTTGTGCACACCCTCTGGAGGCTCAGGGGCTCTAATTAATGGATGGAGGCTCAGGGGCCTCAGGGGTCATGGACAGGACTCCTGGTGTCTATTCAGT